ACATGTGACCACCAGCATGCACATACCCACGTGCATACCCTCCCCCCCCAACTTTCCATTGTGAGGACCAATCTGTGATGTAGCCTGTAGTGTATGAGTTTGTGTCTGTGTGTATGTATAGGTATGCTTGCAAATACCGGTAAGCCTCAGTCTGTGGCATCCAGCTGTGAAGGTTGAAGAACCAAGATGAGCAGATAAGGCAGGCTACTGGTTCAAAGAACCAGTAGCCTGCCTTATCTGCTAACAACATCATCCAGCCAAGTAATGAAAGTCATAGCCAATGGCTAGAAAAGCCATATTGAATAACCCACTATAGCTCACCTTGACTTTTGAATTTTGTAATGTGGTAACTCTGGAACTCAGATTCTTCTCTTCCCCAGGAACTGAAATTATGTCTTGGGTTGTTTCCATACTTTTTCCTTTGTGAACAATGTAGCAAATTGACATGGGTGTGCATAGATCTGCTTGGTTGGCAGTTCTGGTTTCTTTAGGGTATATTTCCGGTAGTATGATTGCTGGGTCAGATAGTATTTCTATTTCCAACTTTTTGAGAAAGCGCCATACTGCCTTCAGCAGTGGTTGCACCATTTGAAACTCCCACCAACAATGAAGAAGGGTTCCAGATTCTCCACAACCTCGCCAGCATTTGTAGTTTGCTGCTCTGTTGAACTTTGCTATTGATATTGGAGTGAGATGATATCTCATAGTTGTTTTGATCTGCAGCTCTCTTAGAGTTGGATATTTTGAATATTTCTTCAACAAATGAATGGATAGAGAAGCTGTGATATATTCACACAATAGAATACTACTCAGCGCTAAAAACAAGGAACTCAAAATATTATACAAAATGGGTGACCCTGGAGGGCATTATACTGTGTGAAATATCTCAGTCACAAAAAGGACAAATACTACATAATTCCAATCTTGTAGAGTGAGACTAAGATGGGAGGTGTTGGGGAGGGGAACTGAGAAAAGAGGAAATAAATAATGGACACTGCATTGGAACAGATGAGGGAAAGAACTGTTTATAAGGAATATATGATTAGGGATTATTTACATGCATGATAACAGTCCAGAATAAGAAGTGCATAACAAAGTGGACTAGGGTGGAGGGGAAGGAGGAAACTGAGCAACAGTGAATTAATTTTTTTAAGAGCAAAGTAAACTGCGGGAGAGAGGAGGAGGAATATGTGCAACAATGAATCAATGGAAATCCAAGTTTTCTGTAAACTTCCGTTAAGATCACATTTAAAAAATATTTCTTTAAAATAGGTTTTGATGGTTGAAGGCTGTAATAGTTCATTTGCTCAACCACCTCGCCTGTTTTTCCAAAGCCTCCCCTCTTAGATATTTGTAGACCTCAAGGACTCAGTTCCCTAACCTAATGTTTTGAAAGAGACGTCTTTGTACTTCAGGGCCAAACAAAAAGCTGACAAAACAGAAAACAAAGAAGAGAGGCAGAGTATAGTAGAGAGGAAGAAAACAATAGCTAAATCCTTCCTCCAAATCTTTACAAATTGTGTGTTGCCACTCAGGTAACTTCTGGAAAACTTCCCACCATGATCATGTGTGAGGCAATCTTAGTTTTCCCATATATTTTGTGCCTGTGAAAGCTCTAAACTGCACTCAAATCCCTTTTGCTAGCATCTTCTTCAGCCCTTAGTTATTAATTGCATGCTTGAGTCACATAGCTCAGTTCCAAGTGTGTACCCTCCCAGCCTCCTGCATTGCCCTTCACTTTCCATCTCTGTGTGAGTTCTGAGATAGACCACACCTAGAGAAAGACTTGCTTCATTCCTTCAGCTAGGCAGACAGGCGGCCCCAGCCAGTAGAAAACACTTCTACTGCAGTCTTTACAGAGTAAAAGTCTACTCTCTCCAAAGCCAATGGCCAGCTCCCTTTCTGGGAGTGCTGTCTTCTGCTTTATGCTGGTTGACTCATCAACTGAGAATCAACCCAGTTGATTCTACCACTTTAAAGACTTATTTTTCTTAATAGAGTTTTCTATCAGTTGCTACAACCCATGGCTATTTTCAGAATTCTTTACAATATTGATTCTATAAACCTTGGTGGCTTTCTTTGGTGTTTGCGTGGGACAGGGGAGAGGAATGAGAAATCTGCTCATGACACCATTTTCTCTAGTTTCCTGTGTGGTTTTTGTTTCATCTCCAGTACTTTTTAATACAATGAATTTATACATAGTTCATATTTAACTATTAGTTTGTATAGGAATGAATGAAGACAGAATCTCAGTGGAGTGAGCTATGACTTTGACCCATTGTTTCTTGCTATGTTATTTGGAGATCTAAAGAAAATCCAGGATGGTGCCTGGTCTGGGTGAGTGCCAAGGATATTAGTCAACATCCACATGGACTCATAGAAACCTAGGCCATTGTTGAACCCATTGGCAAAGGTTGAAAGTGCCTCATGACCACTGTGCCTTTAAAACTCCCTGCTTTGAAAGTTCAGAAAATACAGAAAGACGATCATATCCTTAAATAACCCTTCTACCTCTACTCCCAGGAAAACAGTATGACTTTAGGATGATGGGTAAAGTGGAGCTCCTGTTTATACTGGGAACCTCGTTTCGAGCCCAAGAATTTTTGGAACACTCTGGTTTCAGGCAGGTTTAATACCAGGTGGGTTCTAGAAAGCATAGCTCTATTTAATATTGCACTTTGTCCTACTGTTTGCTCCCCAGAGATTGTTACAGTGATTGTAAAGGCATTTCACTTTGATATTGCTTTTAGCCTGGTAAATAAACCCTATGTTTTAGACATAGTACCTCATAGAAGCATCTTTTGCAATTTGGACAGGAACAGGAAAAGTATTAGAGTAATAGTTAAAGCTGTATTTTTTTTATTTTAAGTGAAAAGAAGCCCATTGAGCACCCAGAATATTCTTTAATTAAAACTTACGAATATCTATCTCTCTTCTCCTGTGAGCCCTAAAATTGATTCTTGACAGGAGTGCTTCTTCCTCTTCATTCTTTCCCTTCCTCTCCCTCACCCCCACTCTCTAAGAGACTGAGCTGGTCGGAATAGCTGCTTGCTTTTTTAAATAGTAGCACAATGCTGCCATGATCAGATAAAGCTGTATTTTCTCTGTCATCTCTAACCGATAATAATGTGTGGTAATTACATGGTACTTTCCATCTGCACATCTGTAAACACTTTATAAATGTTAACTCTTAAATCCTCTCAGTACTTTTACACAGAGAGATGGATTGCAAGGTGCCTTTGTGGCTGGGCTATTCATTTGGCTGGGTTATGTCATAACAAGCTGCTGCTCCTGGTACATGGCAGAGCTGATGTATTGGCATCTACTCCTAAGGTTGCTGTTCTGTGCTTCCAGATGAAAAGTTTGGATTCTCCTGAAGTTCTGCTCTTGAGTTGTACAATGTAGTCATTTTGATGAGACTTTGTTGTTAGATGACATCGAGATGACTATGACTCATAGTGATCCTACGAACAACAGAGCAAAAGTTCTTTGCCCCATCCTGTGCCGTCCTCACAATATTTCCACACTCGAGCTCAATGTTGGAGTTAATTCACCGTGTTAATTCACGTCATTGTGGGTCTTACTCTTTTTTGTTGACTTTCTTCGTCGTCTAGCAGAATGCCTTTATCCAAGGACTGGCCTTTCTTTACAGTATGCCAACATTATGTGAGTTGATGACAGTCTTTGCCTCTGGTTGCATTTCTTCTAAGACAGACCTGTTTGTTCTTTTGGCATCCTATGGGATATCGAATAATTTTCACCAACACCACAATTCAAAGACCTCAATTCTTTTTTTGGCCTTTCATCTGTTCATCTTTCAGATCACTGAAATTGTTAGGAAATATTTTGTCTGTTAAAAGATGCAGTTTTTGTTTCTGTAACCATTCTTAAATGGCTGTTACCTCTCTCAAAACATACTCTTTTCCTAAAGATGTGGTTTGGTCTTTTCTTTTCACATCCCAGAGAGTGAAATACCAAATAATTATGAAATGTACACTACTGAATATTTTTAAAAGATTTAGAAAATTAAAACTCTTTTTGTCATTTTGTTTCATTGATCATAACCTTAATACATACTGTTTCAGTTTATCAACATGGTTTTGATGTATTATGCAAATTTATTTTTCTAATTTGTAAAAATCTTTTACAAAGATTACATGCTTTAAGTTTTCACAATATAATAAGTTACACTGAGTGTTCCTTTTTTCCTCCCTTATTTTTTCCTAATGACGACCTTCTTCAAGTAAAAGTCTAAATTGGCGGAGTAGTGTGATAGCAGTCTTGACTGGTAATTTAATACTTGGCTATAATGAGTTCATCTGAGAGATTTCATTAGAAACAGCAAGGTGCCTGAATACCAAAGCTGAGATGTTTTTAATCACAGAATTATAGTAATTATATAAATCTTAAGATTTTCATCAGATGGAAAAGGCTTCCAGGGCTAAACATGAACTTTTGACTTAGCACTAATAACTGTGTATTGTTCTAAATTGTAGCAGAGGCCAAAGGAAAGAGAACAAAGGCTGTTAAGTGTTGGATTTTTAAGAAAAAATGAAAAAGAAACTATTTGGGTAGCATTATGATGACCACAAGAGGCACTTACTTCTCTTGTGTAATAGGAATGGCTAGCTGTAGGATTAGGTGAAGATTCAGAAAAGTCAATGAATCTTATTTATATATGTTCATATACAATGAATAACAGAAGCAACACTTTTCTCTTGCTCTCCTTTTTCTCAAGGGTCCTGAAGTTGATGAGAAACTAGAATCTTTTTAGATAAAGACCAACCATGGAAGAGATAATAAGACAGTTAGAGGATAACTGGCTTGAAATTTTAAGTTCATGGGTCCAGTGAAGACTGAAGAATTGTTACTTTAGGACTATTAAAAACTGTCAAATTTTTATGAAAGGGCAAAAATTTGGCATTTCAAGGAGTTTGTTTTTGAGAGAAGTGCTACAGAGAATTAAAAAAATGCATCTAATAAGGTTTTAGACAAAGACCCTGCACATGAGGTTTTCTTTCAAATGTATATAGATAGAAGCTTCTCTGGTGGTGTAGCAGACACGGTGCTGTTAACCTCAAGGTAGTGCCTCTCTGGTAGTTTTAGTTCACCAGGAGCTTTGAGGCAGAAAGATGGGCAGTCACCTCCTGTACAGTTTGTAGTTGTTGGGTGCCATCAAAGTCCATGCCCCCATTGCAATACTGTGAACAATAGGTCTGCCCCTTGTCCAATCTTTCAGCAACCTCACCATGTCTGTCATGCTCAAGCCCTCTATGTTGGTCACATCTTCTTGAGAGTCTTTCTCTCACCCTCCACCTTTTTCTGCATGATGTCTTTTCCCAAGGACTGACTGGCCCCCTCTGACAACATACACAAAATAAGTGAGACAAAATTTCACCATCCTTGTTCTAAGGAATGTTCTGGTAGAAATTCCCTCAAGACAAATTTGTTTGCTCTTTTGATAACTCATGACAGTTCAATACTCAGCAGCACCACCACAATTCAAAGGCATTAATTCTGCTTTTGCCTTGTTTCATTTCCTGACTTGTAATAAATAGGGGAGCTTTGGTCTTTTAACTGACATTCATGTGATTTCAAGCCATGCTATGAGTCATTTCCAACTTGATGGTAATGAGTTTGAAATTTTTAGTTCTGTATAGATGTACTGCTAAAATGAGTAAGGGAGACAGATGAGCAAAGGGATTTATAGAAGATGGAAACTGAAAACAGAAGGGGCTACTGGAGTGTCCATGATAGGTGAGAGGAGGGAGCAGGTGCTTGGAGGAAATAGCGAAAATGTGTCAAGTGGACTCATTGGTTAACAGGTGTTTGGAATTAGGATGCAGCACATGCATTTTAGGGAATAGCCTTGAGATCTCTTTTGGTATTTTTGATGAGCAGTGAGAACATAGAATTACTCTCAGAAGCTGGAGCAGAAATATGCCTGGGAATTTGAGTCTTCATGGGACTTTGCTGGCCTCTGTTCTTCTCCAAATGACATCACTTTTTATGGCAAACACATTCTTCTCTTGTCTGCAAGCAGAATTGGAAAGCTGATTGCAACAACTGTCTCCTGACCTCTGCTGAATGATGTGATCATCCACATTTACTGCTTAACTATTATGTGAATATTCAAGCCTCCAGGTGCTTCCTTGTCTCATCAGAAAGCTTATAAGCATCTTGGATGGACTTCTAGCCCCTGCCCAGAATGTATGCACATTTCTCTTCACTTTGACCCTTTCACTAGGCCAGGCCTGGCAAAGAAGGCCTTGTGTTGTCCTCTACCTGCAACGTCAATGTTGCACAAGTGTTTCTTTCCTTTCCCCTTTAGAGTCATCAAAATATGTTCATTGTGTAGTATTTATACAGAAAAATCCAAAGAAGCAGAAAAACTGCCCTTAACCCTTTCATTCAGAGATAAGTATTGTTAGCATTTTGCACACAGGAATTCTCACTAGTAAATATTAGCATAATTGCTAAATGCACTGAAGTGCCCTGGGGTCATTCACAGGCATATACATATGAAATCTGAGGGGGTTGCTGTGTGTGTGTGTGTGTGTGTGTGTGTGTGTGTGTGTGTGTATGCGCGCGCGCGCGCGCACGTGTGCATTTATGTTCCTTTGAGGTGGAACACTCTTTGTTGGCATATACTGATTAAGTGCCTGCATAGAACAAAATTGACTATATTTTCTTTGGACTTTTGCCCCCTGTGTCCCTTGTTCTTTATTTACATTACATTGAAGATACTAATTTGTATTCTGATTTGTAAATTATTTCTTTAATCATTTATCATAAATACTAAATCTCATGGCAGGGCTGTTGCTGACTACAGCGGAAGTGAGTTGAGAGGTTGAATAAATTTTTCTGTCTCTCTCAGGTCTCATGTCTGCTGGTCTGCATGAAGGAAGGCTACAATGGGATTGAATGTGAAACTTCACTGCCTCTGCCTTGAAAATTGCCCTTCAGAAGGAGGAAATCTGCCTTGTGTGGTGGCTGGCCTCAAGGGACAGGGCCCATTGTAGAAGGAAATGGATGGAAGGCACATGGGAAAACGCATACCTGTGGTGGTCTAGTCCGTGGAAGCCCTTGTGGGGCCCTGGCCTTCTGGGATGTCGCCAGGCCTGGACGCATGGCTGATTCCTGAGTGATGATGGTTCGCCGGGGGCTGATGGCCTGGATTTCTCGGATGGTGATTTTGCTTGTGCTCTTGTGCTGTGCCATCTCCGTTCTCTACATGTTGGCCTGCACCCCGAAGGGCGATGATGAGCAGTTGGGACTGCCCCGGGCCAATGGCCCCACGGGGAAAGAGGGGTACCAGGCTGTCCTGCAGGAGTGGGAGGAGCAGCACCGCAACTACATCAGCAGCCTGAAGAAGCAGATCGCGCAGCTCAAGGACGAGCTCCAGGAGCGGAGCGAGCAGCTCAGGAACGTGCAGTACCACGCCAGCGACGCCGCGGGCCTGGGCCCCGCCGCCGAGAGAACCCCCGCGGACCTCGTGGCCTTCCTGCGCGCCCAGGTGGACAAGGCGGAGGTGCACGCCGGCGTCAAGCTGGCCACCGAGTATGCAGCCGTGCCTTTCGACAGCTTCACCCTGCAGAAAGTCTACCAGCTGGAGACAGGCCTCACCCGCCACCCCGAGGAGAAGCCTGTGAGGAAGGACAAGCGCGATGAGCTGGTGGAAGCCATCGAATCTGCCTTGGAGACTCTGAACAGCCCCGTGGAGGGCAGCCCGCCGCAGCGGACCTACACGGCTTCGGATTTCATCGAAGGTTGGTGTTTTTGTGCTTGGGGCGCAGGTGCCACAAAAGGCATCTGGGGGACAGACACCCAGGCTGGTAACACCAGTGGGAGGGAGGGGGTTATGTCTGGAAAGGTAGAAAACTAATGTTAATACCATTTATTTTCTCATGGAAACTGCAATCATGGAGTGGACGGCTTTCTTTGGCAGAAGAAAGTATCACTATCTTTTTTCTTTAATAGTGAAATGAAACAAAACAAACTGTAAATATTAAACTCTGCAATCTACGTAGATTATGAGAGTTTTTAGTTTTGTTCCTTATAATAGGCATTTCTTCTAATAGCTGGCTAAGTCTAGTAATTATGAGATAACCATCTGAGAGAAAAGTAGTATTGAACATGTATCCTAGCATTTACATGGGCCAGGCACTGAACTTTACATTAATTCATTCCTTTTCCCCTCATAATGGCCCTCTTAGGAAATGAGGAAAAGGTGTGGTTGAGGCATTTGGCTGAGCACTAAAAAGCTAAAAAGATGGTGGTTTGCATCTGTTCGGGGGTGGGGGAAAGATACAGCAGTCTGCTTTTGACAAGATGTGCAACTTTAGAAACCTGATAGGCAGTTCTAGGGAGCTCTGGTGGCATATTGCCTCGGGAGCTGTGCTCCCAGTACAAACACTAATGGTTCAAATCCACCAGCTGCTCCAAGTGAGAAAGACAGGCAGTCTCCTCCTGTGCATTTGTAGCCCCTGCAAACCTGCTGGAAGGCTAGCTAAGAGTTGGTTCTGACTTGTAGGCAATGTGTCTGTGTACAGGCCTTTCTCCTCTCCTGCAGAGCTGTCATGAATCAGTCTGATCAATAGCAGTGTGTTTTGAGGGGTGAGAAAAGGGAGCTGCAGAAAAATAAATGCCTTAGGTCACTTAGGGAGTGTAGAAGCCAGGAATTGAACCCAGGAGGCCTGGCTCCTCAGTCCACATACGATGTCATCAGAACATGTGGAAACTATTGAGATGAATGGCTCTGGCTTTGTCCTTGGGCCTAAGAGAGTCTGGTGTTCCTTTCTGTTTGTGCTTCATTTTGAAAGAATGATGTGCAATTTCTTGGAAGGCTGTTCAGTGTATTATCAGTGTTTCCATTGTTAGTAGTTCAGCAGTCAACTAATATTTTGAGAGAGGCTTCTTTCCGGTCAGGTAGTTCCTCACTTTCTTCCAATTTCTGAATAGAATCTATGTCACCTTGACCAGAAATAGAGCTGTGTCTGCCCACTTCTCCTTCTACTTTGGTGTAGCCATTATCTTGTCAACCTGCAGGCTAGACAGGCGCTCTTTAATCACATCTAAGACCCATCTATTTATTCTCTTTCCTCTATAGAGATTTATTTCTACTTCATATGAGAAACATAAATTCTTACAATTTTAGTTTCATATCCCTTTTTTCCATGTACCTGGAAGCTTGGTAAAGAAATCTTTGCAAAATCAAGTTTGGGTACACATATGCTGGGGGTTTTGTTTGTTTGTTTGTTTAAGCTCATTAATATGCTGTCTATAAGTTAACAACACATCACTTCAGCAACTAGCCCATAGCAAATACTCACTCTTAAGTGCAAAATACAGTGGTGATGTAGCATCACATTTTATAGTGCCTTTTTACAATTTGTAGAACATTTCCACATGTATTATCTTATGAGCTGACCTGTGGAGGTTGATTATACATCATTAAACAAAAAATTCTTGGCTGCCACTCACCCTGCAGTATGCTACATAGAACTGTCCATGGACCAATCAGTTTCAAAAGACCTTGATTACAAATCAATGCTTGCAGTTTGCAATGGTTGCCCTTGTGATTTTCATTTTGCACTTGTATTTGAACTCTCTGCCTGCTGTTCTGTGTATAATATCTTAATGATAAGGCCAGTCTCTCTCAATCAGCAGAGGCACAAGACTCTTGTACTGCAATTTATTTTCCCTGAGAAATAGCCAGTATTCTTTTGGAGGTCCTCTTATTACAGCCACTAGTTCTAACTCATAGTGGCTCTGTGTATATCAGAGTACAGCACACATGGTTTGTAATGGGTGGTGGTGGTGGTGGTGGTGGTGGTGTGTGTTTAGATTCCCAGACCTTTCTTCTGAGATACCCTTGAATCCCTAACCTTTCAGTTAGTAGTTGAGCGAGTTAACTAATTCGTCCATCCAGGAACTTGCTTGATTGTTACCCACAAGCCTGGAGGATTGAGCACATTCAGATTCTTCAGAAGAAAGACTTGTAAACTCCTTCCGCAATGTCAGCCCTCACAGACCCTGTGTCAGGAATTGTTCAGATCTGTTGTTCATAGGGTCGCTATGGGTTGTACTCTACTCGACGGCACCCAACAACATAGACCCTGTAAGAGCTCAGTTCTACTCTGACTCACATGCAATTGCCAGGAGTCACAAAGAATTCATTGGCATTTGGTTTTCTTATCAGAGTTATCCAGTGTTACTTTATGTACAGCACTCCATCTATATTTTAAGACAGATAAATCCACACATACATTCCAGATTTGCTGAAAATCTAGTCAACTGATAGAGCAGGTTTCAGAACTTTTATACATAGGGTCACTATGAGTCACAGCCACTCAACGGCACATAACAACAGCTAAAAGAAAAAACAAAAACTACTAAGTATATGTACACAGATCTGACTCTCATAAGCACTACTTTTTGTTGTTGTTATTGTTAGCACAAAAGATTGTTGAGGTAATGTGTTTTTAAAAAAATTTATAGGAAAGGAAATATTCCAGAAAGTTTCTGCCAGTCAGAGGGAAGGCAGATCTAAGATACTGATCTTAGGATCAGTGAGGAGTAACTTTCAAATAATTAAAACTGCAATGAGATCTTTCAGAATTAATGTGGGGTTCCTGTCACCACAAGAATTTTGGCAGCCACTGATGACCACTTGGCAAGGTGGTTCTAAGGCAGAATTGCAGCCTCAAGGAGGCGGTTGAGCTAACTGACCCTTGAGGACCTCTTGAGTTTTGATCATGGAGACCCAGTGGGACAGTGGACCTGTCTTACTAGCAAAGTACAAAGCACCACTTTGACTTCTTTTGTTCACAACTTTGCCAAGCAACCATCTCTTGAGGGATGTTCTGTCACCATACTATCCTCTGGGATCCTCCTTTCTAAAAGGAGAAATTGAGATACATTATTTATAAGTCTGGTTTGGCTGAAGCTACTTTGCGTAATTCTGTGAAGTTTGTGGAGAGAGAATACCATATTGATGGCTATTTATTATCTTTATTGATTTAATTATTCCCTATCTCTAAAATACAGAGGGAACAATTTCTGCTGCCTTTTCTCTTTCCCCAGATGTTTCATTGGCACTGATTTTTGACTTGAATTCTCACATAATAGTGCTAATTTTTCAAAACCATCTGGGTATAAAAAAAAAATAGAGAGATGTGGTCTGATCCTATGCCTTCAGATGCCTGTTTATCTCCTCAAGTGAACAGAAAATTCCTTTCTTTATGGTGTGGTTCATTTATCCCTTTAGTTTAGAATATACAGACTAATAATTAAAATTGATGAGTGGCACATCTTTTGGCTGTGATTTCATATATAGTTCCACAGAATTGTTTAACTCTCCCAGTTATTATTTCTTTTACAACCTAACCTTTGATTGTGTGACTTCATAGGAGGATTTCCATCTGCTTTCTGTGAGTGGTCCCTGTCTCCGTTCTGTGCAGTTCATGCTCCTCTAACAATAGTGATGTGAGGAGAGCAGACCAGAAGCTGATGGTCTTGATTTTAAGGTAAAATGGAGCCAAACGATGATCCAGGAAGTACAGTGATGACTTTGAGGGCATCTGAGATAAACTTCGGAACAAGAGGAGCTGACTGTGGCTATAAAACTTTAAGAGCAGGGAGCCCCGGTAAATACCAACTTTCTGTAATCTCTGTACAACCGAGACCTCATGCTGTCTGGGAAGCTTAAAGCATGAAGTGGAGGCACTGATATCTTTATGCCCATTTTATGTCTGTTGCCCACTTACCGCTAGCGGACTCTGCTACCACTGTGCTAAATCTTTAGACAAATAAAATCCAGTTGCCATGTCCTAGGAGCTTGGTGAGCAATGTACAAGTCACCATGTGGTGTTGCTAGCCCATGTTGTAGTCATGGGCACATGACCTGCCCAGTCACACCGGACCCTGCAATCTGAAAGGCCCTAATTCTGCTTTAATGGGCTGCTGCCCCCACAGTGGAATTCTTAATAATTATCTAATAATTGAGTCTGCATACCTTGTACTGAGCCCTGCAGATTATGTAGCTCATCCTGCACCCCCAAGGTGGAAGAGGCAAGAGGAAAGCATAGGAAAAGAGGAAATAGAAAATGAAATTCCTGTGTGTAATGATCTGTCTCCATTGCTGAGCGTGAGCTCTGTCTCTCCAATGGGCAAATGGAACATGTGTACTGTGTATTGTATCACAAGAAGGTAGCCAGTCTGATTTGTATGAGGGATTTGTTACTGTCATTTTTATTATTCAAAATCAAAACAATTTCCTTCTCATGGCACTTTGTTAAACATTTAAATATTACTGTTCTTCATAACTTGAATCTTTATTTTTTATTGTTGTTGTTGTTGTTGTTATGTGCCATCGAGTCGCTTGTGACTCATAGCGACGCTATGTACAACAGCCCTAAACCCTGCTCTATCCTGTGCCAATCTCATTGCCTCTGACACATCCATCCCGATTACCCCAGTCACTGAATCAATCCACCTCATAGAGGGTCTTCCCCTCCTGCGCTGTTCCTCCACTCTGCCCAGCATGATGTCCCTCTCCAAAGACCTGTCTCTCCTTACAACATGTTCAAAGTATGTCAGGCGAAGCCCCAGAATCCTTGCCTCCAAGGAGCAGCCTGATTTAACCCTCTCTAGGATGAATCTATTTGTTTTCTTGGCAATCCATGGTACATTCAATACCCTTCTCCAGCACCACAGCTCAAAGGCGCCAATTCTCCTTCTATCCTCCCTAGTCACTGTCCAACTCTCT